AAACCCCAAAACCCCAAAACCCCGCAATTGAATGTAGCAGACATTAGGTAATTTTAATAAAGAGGTTAATTAGAGTAAATTGATTAATGAATTAATTCTTCAGGAATCAATTCTCTTAATAAAATATTTAAGTGAGACTATTTCAATTAATACATTAGAATTCAATAATAATAATCATTAATAGTCAATACTATACTAATCGTAGAGAAGAGATGTATTTTTCAGAGGACCTAGATATTAATACGCTTGATGGAATTTTTTACTAGATCAAGAAGATGGCAAGGCAAATCCGAGGATACATATAATAGTGAAGCATAAATATTACGAATTAAATCTCGAATTTGATGATTCTTTGGAGATGCTATTGGCCTCTAAATTAATCCAGCAATATTCCAACATTATATATCCTCCCATAGAAAAGGAGTTTATAGAAATTAAATAATTATATCTTGGGAAATACTCTCAAGTAAGACTTGCTGCAAATATAAATTCAAATAGTTTTCAAACTAGTCAAAATGCCGAAAAAGAAGTCTAGTACGTCATAAAAACCTATTCTAGAAATGATAAACTAGCTGAAATAGAAGTTGGGAGGGAGATAAAATACTTGAGAGCCTTATAAAATAAGTAATATATCTCGTAATTAATAAAAGTCTATGAAAGCTAGTAATATTTCCATCTAGTGTTTCAGTATGATGAGGCTGGGACACTTCTTAAATACATGTAAAAGCGAGATTCCCTTAGAGAATATGAAGTAAAAATAATAATGAAGTAGTTATTACAGGGATTAAGTACTATACATGATGCCCACATTTTGCATAGAGATCTCAAATTGGAAAACATATTAATGGAAGACCCTCTTTTTCTAAAAATCAAAATAATTGATTTTGGACTTGCATGTAAAAAAAATGAAATAAATAAGCTAAATCAAAGATGCGGAACTCCAGGATATGTAGCTCCAGAGATTTTAAATAACGGATTTGCATCTGTAAAAAGTGATATTTTCAGTATCGGATGTATTTTCTATAATCTACTTACTAGAAAGGTATTATATACAGGAAAAAACACTAGAGAGGTGATTTGGAACAATACCTAAGAGTCACCGATTGCACGACTAATTAAATTGAAAAGTTTAGTAAGCGATCAATGCTTTTAACTGTTATATGATATGCTAAATGTTAAACCTAATAAAAGACTGTCAGTAAAGTAATGTTTGAATGTAAGAATAACTTCTACTTAATTATATATAGCATGCTTGGTTTAAGGTAAACACAATAAATCGGCTATCAGGCTAGATAAAAAATTATTTAAGCTCTGATAGTTAAAGCTCTGGGAGTTAATATGGATCTAGCTCATCTCTAAAGAAATCAAGCAATTTCTCTAAATCCCCTTCAAGATTCAAGTAATTAGCAAAAATAGATAAAAATCAAACCATAAAAAGACATTTTTCAACCCCTAAATATTTTGATAAATTATAGAATAAGAATGAGTAGCCACTTATAGACATATAAAATTCATTCAATAGGATTCTGTTAGATGATTTCATCATAGAACCAAGATAATTTGATTTCATCGAATAGGACTTTATTAAAGATCTTTAAAACTTTTAGGATGAACAGGAATATAGTAAATTTTAGCAAATTAAGATTGAACATTCAAAATTTCATACAAACAATAATGTTTAAAATGAATGTTTTGATTTGATATTTTCCTCTGATTAAGATGAACATGCTATTGAATAAGATGGCTTTTAAATTGAATCAATTTAAAGTAAATGCATCAATAGATAGTTAATAGATAATGTTAGAAGTAAGAAAAAGCAATTTAAAGAAATGAAAGGTGGTAGGCCTTAAACTAGTTAAAATAATTGAAAAAATTAGAATCTAGTTCTTCTAAGTTCTTTATTAATCTTAGAAATCATTTTTTAACAACTGAACCAAAAATTATAATAAAATTTATGCATTCTTCTTAATTAATGGCAGATTCCCAAATTCGGGGTTTTGGGGTTTTGGGG